TGTTAGTGCCAAAGTGCTTCTATGACTCAAGGAAGGGTTGGGCTTCTTTCAATTGACCAAAGGAACAAGTAAAAATGATTTCTTAAACACGGGAAGATTTATATGAATTTATACAAAGTGAAGTGAGCAGAACCAGGAGAATATTGTATATATTAACAGTAATATTGTAGCAATAATCAACTGTGAAAGACTTAGTTACTCTCATCAAGTCAATGATCCAAGATAATTTCAAAGGATCCACCATAAAAATTGCTAACCACATCCAAAGAAAGAACTGATGAAGTCTGAGTGCAGATTGAAGTACAGTTTTTTTCTCTTACAACATGGCTTTTATGGAACTATTTTGCATGACTTTACATATATAATTGATGTTTGCCTTCTCAAAGGCAAAGGGAGGGGCAGAAGAGAGAATGTGGAACTCATTTATTAAAAATGTTATTTTTTTTACATGTAATTGGTTAATATTTAATGAAATGAATAAAAATATATTGAAAAAAATTATTTCTTGAAGCCATCAAATGCTAACATTTAAACTACCAACACTCAGTATGGGTGACATAATTCACATGTTCTTTACCAGAAGCAAGGCAAAGATTCTTAGCAAGAGTACTACAACATCAATGTCTATTTCCAGCTCTCTAAGTGTGATGCGTTTCTTTCAAACTGGGGGTTAATAAGTTACCATATGTTAGAAAAGTATGATAGGCAACTAGGACATCTCATTCACCTATTCTGCTAGAAGTGAAGGGTAGGGAGGAGAGATGGAGAAGGGCAATGGCTGCCACTGTGACAAAGGTGGTTATTTTTTGCTCGTTTATTTTGATCCAGAATCATCAGACAAATGTAGCCAAAGAAGAAACTGGGCCTCTCTAATGGAGTGAGAAAACAAATCATCTAAAAATTTCTTCTGAGTTTTCAAAGTCTTTGACTTTTCTGTAACATAAGCCACTATTCATCTACCTCTTCAAACTGGATACTCTCCCCTCCACCCACGTCAGTGAATACAGTTCTTTTTTGGTCAACCTCCAACATCTCTGATCAATTTTTCTCATTCCTCTTTAAAGAATCCTCTTGCTCCTCCAAGTTCCTAGGTACAGGTGGCACCTGAGGTTCTATCCTAGGACTTCTCTCTTTTCTCTACCCTCTCTCTTCTATGACTTCAACTATCATGATTACAGGGTATCCCAAAAAGTCTTAGTGCATTTTAAACTTTAATAACTAAATAACTAAGACTTTGGGGACACTGTATTTTGCTGACTTCCAGACATCTATATCTCAAGCTCTAAACTCTCTCCTTTGACCTCTAGGACATTATAAGATCATAGATTTTGAATTAAAAGAGAACTTAGATATTACCTAGTCTAGCTTTATCATTTTATAGATGAGGAAACCAAGGCCCAAAAAGCATGTGACTTTTCCTAGGTCACATAGGCAGAACTAGAATTTGAATCCATGTTCTCTGACTACCAATCTAGTGTTCTTCCCACTACACAGTTATGCCTCAATCCTAGATCTCTAAAGGCCTGGTTTATATCACTGCCTGGAAATTCTCCCAATACCTCAAGCTGAATATGTTTAAAAGTGAACTCATCATTTTCTTATAAACCTGCCAATATTTCTGTTGACAACATGAACCATCATTTTCCTAGTTACCAAAGAGCTAAACCTTGGAGTCATGTTTTACTCTTCCCTCCTCTCAATCTAATCAATTGCCAAGTCCTATTAATCTTACCCTCACCTCGCATAAATTCCCTCCTTTCCTCTACCATCCCACCCTAATTCAAATCCCATGTCACCTCTTGCCTGGACTATTAGCTCTCAGCACAGTGCCTGGCATATAATGGCACTTAATAAATATTTAGTGAATTGAACTATTACAGTTGTTCTTAAGTGGTCTCCCTGGCTCCAGAATACTCTTCTGTTTACCCTTCACAGAGTTACAAAAGTAAATAACAATATGCCTGCATAATTCCACTGTTCAGAAACTTTTAGTTAACTCCCCACTGTTTACCAGACATTCAAGGCTCTTCCACACTCTGGCTCAAGCTTAACTTTCCAGCCTTATTCCATACTTTTCCTTCCCTGTATACAATCTACATACCTGACAAAATGTATCCTTCATCATTTCCCAAACTCATCCTGCCCCATCTAGCATCCAGACATTTGCACGTTTCCCCTTACGCTGGACATTCCCCTCATATATTTCCCTGAAATTCTCCTCATATATTCCCCCCATATATTTCGATGAAATTCCTCTCTCTCTCTCTCTCTCTTTTTTTTTTAAAAAGGTCCATCCTCCTGAAGCTGTCCCTAAGCCCTACAGCTAGAATGAATGAATGGAGCATTTACTGAACTCTTCCTATGCAAAAAGCACCAGGCCAAGCACCAGGGATAAAAAAATAGAAGGGCAAGACAGTACTTGCTCTAAAGGAGCTCCCATTCTAAGGGAAAAGACAACAGATGCAGGAGGTTTGAAAAGGCTGTATAGTCATTAGGGTGCAACAGCAAAGCAGATAGTAATATATCCTTTAAAATGTCATTTCTATTGATAAAAACCATATTAGTTTCTGATGTCAAACCTTTTGGCAGTACCAAGACTTTGGCAGCAAAAACCTTCTTTCTAGGCTCAAGCAACTGTGACTGCTGAGGAATTTGGCAAGCTGCATCTTCCAAGTCCAAGCTTGCATGGACTATGGCTACATGAACCAGCCTAGAAGCAGGGGTAGTTGGGGATTAGGGGGCAGGGGAAGGAAGAGGAAGGGAGTAGCTCAACAACCATAAGTGGTACTTGCTTAATGATTGGTAATAGTGGTAGGAGGGACTGTGACTTGTATCTTAATTTTTTTTTCATCTTTGAATTCTCTGCTTCTAGCTCAGAGAATTTAAAAATTACTGGACTACCTGAAAGCCATGATCAAAAAAAGAACCTAGACACCATCTTTCAAGAAATTATCAAGGAAAACTGCCCTGATATTCTAGAACCAGAGGGTAAAATAGAAATGGAAAGAATTCACCAATCACCTCCTGAAAGAGATCCCCAAAGGAAAACTCCTAGGAATATTGTAGCCAACTTCCAGAGTTCCCAGGTCAAGGAGAAAATATTGCAAGCAGCTAGAAAGAAACAGTTCAAATATTGTGGAAATACAATCAAGATAACACAAGATTTAGCAGCTTCTACATTAAGGGATCACAGGGCTTGGAATACAATATTCTGGAGGTCAAAGGAGTTAGGATTAAAACCAAGAATTACCTACCCAGCAAAACTCAGTATAATCCTTCAGTGGAAAAAATGGACATTCAGTAAAATACAGGACTTTCAGGCATTCTTGATGAAAAGACCAGAGCTGAACAGAAAATTTGACTTTCAAATACAAGACTCAAGAGAAGCATGAAAAGGTAAACAGGAAAGAGAAATCATAAGGGAGTTATTGAAGTTGAACTGTTTACATTCCTGCATGGAAAGATGATATTTGTAACTCATGAGACTTTTCTCAGTATTAGGGTAGTTGGAGGGAAAAAAATATATATGTGTGTGTGTACACACACATACACACACACACACATACACACACATGTGTATATTCAGAGGGCACAGGGTGAGTTGAAGATGAAGGGAAGACATCTAAAAAATAAAAAGAGGTGAAAGAGGATTATACTGGGAGGAAAAAGGGAGAGATAGAATGGGGTAAATTATCTCACATAAAACAGACAAGAAAAAGCTTTTACAGTGGAGGGAAAGTAGGGGAAGGTAAGAGGGAATGAGTGAATCTTATTCTCATCAGACTTTGCTGAAGGAGGGAATAACATACACACTCAATTGGGTATGGAAATCTGTCTTACCCTACAGGAAAAATAGGGGAAGAGGATATGAGAGGGGGGGATGATAGAAGGGATGGTAGACTGGGGGAAAGGGTATTCAGAATGCATGCCATTTTGGGGTGGGGAGAGATGGGGAGAAAATTTGGAACTCAAAATCTTGTGGAAATGAATGTTGAAAACTAAAAATAAATTAATTAATAAAAAAACCTTTTTTAAAACATACTATTTCAGTATATTCATGTGGGCTCTCAAGAGCTTAAAAATTTATATTACAAAATACATATCCAAAGTTTTTAAATTTAAAAAAATTATTTGGAAGTTCTCAAGTATGGCTTAGATAGGTATATAACCTATTATTTATCTTGCCACAACATTGATGAGCATCAAACTTACCACAAAGAATGACATATGAACAAAGTTTTGTTTTATTCCATTTTGCTTCAAGTGGAGAGTACATAACATGTTTAATATTCTATTTAATCTATGCAGATTAATCTCATGTAGATTAATCTATGTAGATTAATCCCAGCTCTATGTATGGCTGAGATTAGATTATTAAATATCTAGTATATCTCATTCCTCTTTTCCCAAAAAAATCCTAGAAAAGTCCCTATTATTAAAAAAAATCACTATGTTAGATAACTAAAAGTACATATATATGTCTCTAGACTAGATAGGGTGAGGAGTTTGGTAATGGAATGTCTGAACTTTTACCACTTAAACTGCAATTTGGTTCTAGCTGATGTCAGCAGTGACCCAGAATTTATCAGTATCTGATGACTGCTTGGTGACCTAAAAGCCCCCTTCTAATCTAAAAGTCTTCTTCCTCACTGATAGCAGAGGAGTCAAAGATTGAATTGTATCATTAATACTGAAATGTCTTGTCATATTATTGATGCATACTACTAGGATATATGCATTCAGAAATGGCAAACCTGGCATTGCTAAATTTACTTACAAAAAATTAGGTAAAAATACATTCCAAATTTGGACACTCTGAGTCTGAAATATGTTCCATGACACTTGTTGGATTTCTTGCAAATGTAGTTATATTTTCAGAGTTCATACAAATTGGCCTGTGTCCATTTATTACTTCTTATCAATATTTTCCTCATTCATTGTTCAGTTCTGTTAACTTAGTGACAATGTTCATTGAGATATTAAATGCATATTATACTTACCCACTGTACATTATTGTGTCCAACTTTACTTCCTTTGGCTCCTGACAAACCAGCTCCATTCTAAGATAAAAATATTTTGAAAACTTCAGCAAGCTCACAGCTTATTAAGTAACCTTTTCTTTAGGCCAGCTATAAGGGGAACATACAAATCTGACAAATTGATTCATTAGTGTAAAAATTTTTTAGCAAATGCCCACATAAACATGGTCCTATGCAAGACACTATAGTTACAAAAACATTGTGTGAGTCCTCTATGAGCTTTCAATCAGAGAACACAGAACAGTTATAAAATACAAAAAACATTTAAATCAAGATGTGACTGGATAGTAAAGTGTAATGGACTAAAGTCCTTGAACAAGCTTATATTTACCAACGACTGGCAAACTAGTAGAATGTATTTATACTGATACTTGTGTATTACAAACTATGTTTATATTATGGAGACTGACTTATTTATTCTTCCATTCACTAAACTTTTGTCAAGTGTTGACTGTGTTAGGCATGGGGGAAATACAAAGTTAAAATAAGACACAGTCCCTGCTTTCAATAAGCTTTCGGATTCCTAAGTAAATAAGGTACAAACACAGATAATATACAATGTTACAAGAAAAGAGTTGAAAAACAAAGTGTTACATGATTTCTCAAAGTGAAGGTTGTTATCAACTATGGATATCTGGGAAGGCCTGGTGGCAGAGTTAACATATAAGTTGGGTTTTAAAGAAAGGGTACAAATTCAACAGGCAAAAATGAAGAGGGATGATATTCTAAACATAACAAAGAACATGAGCAGAGGGAGGAAAGGGCAGGGAGTGTTTGATAGGAGTGGAGGGGCAAGGGTTATAGAGTTCATAGAAACAGTTACCATTTATATTGTGCTCTAAAGTTTGTGAAAAGCTTTAAAAATACCTCATTTGATCCTAACAACCTTGGAAGGTAGGTATTATGCCCATTTTATAGATGAGGAAACGGAGGCAGACAGAAGTTAAGTGACTTGCCATGGATCACACTACTAGTCTGAGGGTAGATTTAAACTCAGATCTTCCTGACTTCACTGAGAAGGTAATGGCAAACCACTCCAAGATTTTTGCCAAGAAAACGTCATATGGGGTCATGAACAGTTGCACACAATTGAAAAATGACTGACTAAACTTCTTGACTCCATGTCCACCCCTTAGCTGCCTCTTCATGCCTTCTTCCCTTACATGAAAGGAAGTCATAAAAGATAAGGCTGGAATGGTGGACTGGCAAAAGATTGTGGAAGGAACCAAATGCTAGGCCAAGAAAGTCTAAATTTTACTTGGAAAGCAATAGGAGGCCACTCAAGATTTTTAACAAACGGCATGACAAAGAACTACTTTGCAGGAAGACTTTTTAGTAAGCTATTACAACAGTAAAGGCAGGTGATAAGGAAAGACTGAGCCACAGGGACAGAAGTAAGAACAGAGAAGACACAAAAGTGAAAGGCAGAATTGGAAAGGCCTGGTATCTCAATGGATATGAGAAATGAAAGACAGGGAAGTGTCATATTTTTAACATGGGAGACTAGGTAAAGGCACAAATAGAAACAGTGAAAATGGGAAGAACAGTAGTAGAGTGAAATAAGCCTGGTTTTAGACATGTTGAGTTTAAGATGCTGGCAGGACATCCAGAGGTAAAAATCTTGTAGGCAGTTAGAGAAGGAGAGATTTGGAACTCAAAGAGAAGTCAGGACTAGAGCTACAAATTTAGGAGTTAATTTTATGACTCTCAATCTAACCAAGAGATTAGAGTTGAAGCTTTCTTCATCTCCAAGGGAGAGACTAAAGAGAAGAGAGCCAATGACAGATTTTCAATGTTAGGGAAGAAAATTAAAAGCCAATAAGTGAGACAAGGATGGAGCTGCCAAACAGAAAGGAGGAAAACCACAAGAGTATGATGTCTCTTCCCTATTTTACTAAAATCTCCCATTCTTATCAGAAGATCAGAACATCAAAACCACGTTTGTTGAGTCTTGAAGAATAACAAATTGTGCTGGCTGGTTCCCAAAGCTAACTATAATTCCTTTGAAATATTTTGACATATGTGTTAAATATAGGTAGTACATTTGAGAAGTTTATTAATTTGTACTTTTAGTTTTTCTTTATTATGAACTTAGTCATCAATAAACATAAGCATTCCAATACACAGAGAACAAAATGATGATTGTATACAAAACCATGAATTTCTGTTTTTTATAAATGCATAATTGATTTAACAAAATTTCCGACTGTGCATTTTTTGGGGGATGTATTTTTTCTGCTTCTATGTATACATAGATATAGATATATAGATAGATAGATAGATTTTTTTAGGCAATTGTGGTTAAGTGACTTGCCCAGGTTCACACAGCTACTAAGTGTCAAGTATTTGGTCTGAGGCTGGATTTGAACTCAGGTCCTCCTGACTTCAGGGCCAGTACTCTATCCACTGTGCCACCTAGCTGCCCCTGCTTCAATATTTTCCCATTAATTTATCCCCAAACAGAAAGAAGCCCTCTCTTATAATAAATATAATCCAGCAAAACAAGTCAAGCACTAATAAAACTGTGCTCTCTAGCGGCGAATTCAAAATAGTCTTTGTTCCTCATTGCCACTTCCATACTCTCTCTCCATCACCATCACTCAGCAACTTCTCTTCCTTTGAAAGCTATTCAATTTATCACCTAATCCATATTCTGGTGGTCACGATCTATTCACACTCAGCAATTTTTCCTTCCTTCCTCAATGGGCTTAGTGTTGGGCTCAGAGACTTTTTCTCCCCCACCTGCCATCATACATACTGATATTCCCTCAAATACCCTAACTTCCCAGTTCTTCAATATTCTCAATTTATATTACATAATACTTTGCCTCAATTACAGACAAAAATGGACTTGATCTTAGTAAAGCATCACTTATAAGTGTTGAACCTCCATGTTCATGAACTGTGAAACTCCTTTGTATGATCACAATCTGTTATCATTCCATTTTTCCATGTGCTTTATGACCCCAAATTTTGTTCTTTATCCTCACCATTACTTCCATTCCCTCAGGTTTTTCTAGCAGGTCATCATCACTGGCCCACACTCTTCTCCCTTTTCATGTCAACCCCTTGGTGAATTGGTTCAACTCTACACTATCCTCCATACTCAAAACCCTCACCCTCTTCTCCTATCAATCACACCTTGCCAAACCCCAATTGAATTACTCTCACCATCCACCTCCATCACTCCTATTCACAAGCTGCTGAACAGAATAGAAAGAACACACACAAATGACTGAGACCACCACAAATTTATGTTACCTAATCTCAACTGCAACAAGGCACTTCTTTTAAAGCTCCCTAATCAATAGGCTATCTCACTCAACCTTTTTTTTTTTGTGAGGCAATCGGGGAATTGGGGTTAAGTGACTTGCCCAAGGTCACACAGCTAGTACGTGTCAAGTGTTTGGTCTGAGGCCGGATTTGATCTCAGGTCCTCCTGACTTCAGGGCCGGTGCTCTATCCACCGCGCCACCTAGCTGCCCCTCACTCAACCTTTTTATTCCAAACCTTTTTATCTCTCTTAAAGCCTCCCATGGTACTCCCTCAATCCAACATCTCAGTTAAGGACCTGGCCTCCTATTTCACCAAAAAAATGGAAGTCATTCACCATAAGTTCCATCTTTTTCCCTACTCATCTAGTATCACTCAAATGTCTTTCCTCATTACCTCCTTCTTCACTCCTATATCAGCTGAAGAGGTGGACCTTCTTCTTGTCAAGGTCGACTGCTTCACATTTACCAAGTGAGATATTATTTCAAAGCATTTAGCAATGTCTGGCACATAGTAGGCTCTTGATAAATGCTTATTTATCCTTCTTTCCTTCCCCTTTTCCCTCTATCTTTTTTTTTAAGGCTTTTTAACCTTTTTAAGGTTAAGTGACTTACCCAGGGTCACACAGCTAGCAAGTGTCAAGTGTTTGGTCTGAAGCCCAATTTGAACTCAGGTCCTCCTGACTTCAGGGCCGGTGCTCTATCCACTGTGCCACCTAGCTGCCCCTCCCTCTATGTTATCTTACTGGGTGGTCTCATCCACTCCTATGGATTCAATTACCACCTCTATGCAGATGATTCCCAGATCTAAATATCCAGCTTTAATCCAGAGTTCCAATCTAGGACTACCAAATGCTTTTTGGACATCTCAAACTGAATGTTCCACAGGCATCTGAAAGTTAACATGTCCAAAACAGAGAATTATTTTCTTTCCCTATATATCCTCCCCCTTTCACCACTTCCTTATTACTGCTAAGAACACCATCCTCCTAGTCACACAGGCCTGCAACCTCCATGTCATCCCTCACTTGAACTCATCCACTGTCAAATCTCTTTTCTAACTTCACAGCATTACCCATATGCATTCCCTTCTTTCTGTTCACAAAGCCAACATACTAGCTCAGGCCCTCATCACCTCTTGCCTGGCATATTGTAGTAGACTTCTAATTGGTATCTCTGCCTCAAATCTCTGATTCAGCAGCCAAAGTGATATTTTTTTCAAAAATTTTTTTTATTTTAAACTTAAATACCAAAACTTGAATACATGTAAGAAAAGAAAAAGAAACAGTATAAACTTAAATATTAAAACTTAAGTACAAAATAAGAAAAAAAAGCATTGTCATGTGCACAGCAGAACATAAGAGAAGATTCAAAATACACAATAAATTTCTATTTCAAGAAAGCCTATATAATAACTACTACACATTGTGTTCAGTTATCCATCTTTGCTTCCTTGTAAATTTTCTTTTGTTCTCTGCTGTGCACTCCTCACTTTGTTCTTTTTTCCCCTTTCCTCCCTTCCCTTACCCAAGAAGGGTACAATTAAGCACAGCTACACACACACACACACAGAGATATATTTATACATACATATACACATATACTTACATATACATAAATATACTCAGATATCTATAATCATTCTCATATGCAAACATATACATTTATATGCATCTATGTAAGATGGTACTATACTTATTTGTCCTGTTTCTCTGAGGGTAGGAAGAAGATAACATCTTCCTTCATAAG